CAAAAGAGACTAATATAAAATGACCGTTGAAAAAACGATTAATAAAATACTATCAGCAAAATTAAAAAAGGCATGTCTTTTGTTTTGAGACTTTTAGGAATTGATTTGACTACATCACGAGTTATGCAATGGGTTTGAAAATTTTTCCTCTCCTTTACTACATAATCTATTTATAAATCTAGCTTAATTTCTTTCTCTAGATCTTACTGAAGTTTAATGTCATCGTTTCATTATTGTTTATTTGGTAGCTTCCTCTGGAAAGCTAACTTTGTCTTCTTGGTTTTCACAGTGTAGATGTAAGTGTCAAAATAGGATTATTTCTTCCTCTCTTCCCATTTTACATAGGAAAAAAGTTTTCATAGGCACATATAAAAATTGTCACAAAAAAAATTAATGGGAGGGAATTTGTCATGTTGTTAAATTTCACATAGTTCTTTGTGAAATGTGATAGATTTCTGTGTAACAGATTTTGCTTCCTTATACATTAAAAAGCCATTTTGCCTATTTCATCTCAATGTCTAAAACAATGTCTGGAACATGGTGGGTGCTAATTAAATATTTGTTAAATATTGAATAAATTAATAAATTCATATCCCAAATACCAGAGTATAACTGTCAGTCCTCAGAGGAGAGCTGCTCTTACTTCATTTAATAAGTATAGGATTCCCTCTACTGGATCTTCTTTCTCTGCACAATCTACCAAACTCATCCTGGATTCTCCTGTTACCTGTTCTTATATTTCTTCTCCCTACTCCTCATATCAAGGCTCTCTAGGACTACTAATTTTTGTCTTCACCAACATGTTTCCAAAAGAAAATCACTGCATTTAGTTACTGAGCATACAATTATGACATTCATAGGCTTGTTTTGTTTGTTTTTAATGAAAGTTCTGTCTGAAGCTAATTCCTATTGACTGAGTACAAAGCACTTCTAGTCAAAAAGTTTTTATGAAGTACAGATTGTATGTCCAGGGCAAGGCTAGCTACTAGAGACAGTAGTATATATCTCTTTTATAAACAGAATGTAAATGCCATATTAATGTGACATGTACTATCACCTATCCATTTGAAAAGCACATGAACATGCTCTTTCAGTTAGAAACTTGGTATCATTCCTTTTCTCCTTGAATTCATATTTTTATCTCATTTCCCCCACATAAGTTTATTCCATCATATTTTCGTTCTTGAATTTTTAATTGATCAGCCTATCCGACTTCCCTACAACAAAAATATATTTTAAAGTTCCAAGAACATAAATTTTAAAAAATTTTTCTTAGTGTTGTTATTAAATTACTAGAACACTACTGATCAAACAGCAAACGTAAAAGTATGATCATTTTAAAATATCAAAAGCCAGCTTTTATTGTAAATGAATGTCACGACGAAATGGATAGGGCCTTTCCTGCCTCCTCACCATCATTTAGGTCATGTATCCAGGAAGAATATTGTTGTTAGAAAGAAATAGGGTTAATTCTATTCTTATATTTTATATTCTTCCATTCCAAATATTTGGGAGTAGGATTTCTGGTTACAGTAATAATCATTCTCGAACTAAGCTATGTATCAAAAATCACATAAGGGTATGTCATCAAAATAATTTTTAATGATCAGCTGACAACTCAATTGAGTCCTTCTGCAATATTTTTAAAAGTCATTGGAAATTTCCAGTCTTGCAAAAGAATCAGCTACCCAGCCATTAGAATTATTCACTTCCTAAAAAAGATTTAGGTCAATTAAAAGTACTGCTTTATTTATAGAGTATTAAAGGGACAATTATCAAAGAGGAAAGGAAAAGTGGTTCAGGTACATGCTGATGCAGACCAAAAGTAACAAAAACATGCAAGTTAACAAACAGAATTAATACCCTTAAACTATTCATTGCATTAATTCCCTTGAAAGCCTTCACATACCTTAAGGTTAAGGGTTGGAGACATGTGTTGCCCACTTTGAAGACTGCTGCTTCAGGATACACGTGGATTTGGATACACACAGTGTAACAGAAGTTGTGAACTTTGGTTAAGTAGTTCACAACCTTCTGTGTGTGTTTTGGGGGATGGCGGTGTGTGTGTGATGAAGTATGGGAGAAAAAAGGTAAGATAATATATGCCTGGATACCACGTTTTTCATTTTTGATAGTATTTTTAAATGTGCTCTTTATCTCTGTCATCTGCCACTAAAACTATTTCTTTACCCTAATGCTCTTAACCTGGACATGTGATACGTGGGGGAGAAAAGAGAAATAATGCTTTTAAAACAATACTGATGAAACAACATTGAAGTTGATATTAATATGAAATGACACTGCTATTTCAACTTAAAGATTCTGATAGGTTAAGTCTATTCTGCTGACAATGAAGAGCCACACCTATCAAAGGTCTAACACAGAGCAGAGTACTCATAGACAGGGCAAAGAAATAGAAAACATGATTCCTAACCAGAAATTCACTTAAAATTTTCCCTCAGAAAGTGCATTCTTATTGATTCCTCTGTGTATGTTCATCACGACTAAGGAATACATAACTTTCATTTATAAATAAAACAAAACACCTTTTTTTTTCATTTTTTAGTATGTTGCCTAATTAAAAATAAGATTTGAAGTAGCTCTAAAAATGCAAGATTGCCTAAAAATAAGAGAAGAAAGCTGAACCAGTCAGAAGTTGTGCCAAGGCACATATTCTTTGTTCAGAGATTGGTTTGAAATAAAATCCACTAGTGAAAAAAGGGAACCTAGCCAAAACCAATATCATATTCTTCAGGAGCCCTGACCCTCATGGAAAACATCAGGACCTTGGTAAGGGGATGGGTGGAGGTGGGAAAAGGAGGAGAAACTCTTTAAATACCTATCTCTGTTATGTACAACCTGTAAACAAGACACTTAAAAAAGTGCCTTGTGTTGAGTGTATTATTCAATCCAAAATGACCATTCTGTAACAGGTATACATTTTTGAAGCAGTGATTTGCTTCAGACTGCAATCGTAGTTACAGAAAACAGTGGTTTTAAAAAAAAATGTCCCAAACTTGGCCTGGGACAGAATTTTTTGAATGGCTAATTCACAACTTCCTCTTGGGATGAAATGAACATTCCTGAAAAAATTCCTAAGCAATATTCCAATAAACTTTAATGGAATTAAGACTTACTCTGGGAACCATTCATGCACCTAAGCAACTGACTGTATTATTAGTTACAAATCTAGTAACTCCAAATTCTTTTCTTTCTGTTATCTAGTTTAACGATTATAAAACCATTTTCTTTTCCCACATGTCCCTACCAAGACTGTATCTTTTGACTTTCAGAGGCCTTTTCTTTTTCAATAAGATTGTAATAAAACTTTAACACATGCTTATAATGAAACTGTGTTAATAATTTATTTGCTAAAATTAAAGTAGATGCACATAAATGGAGAGGAAGTGACCATTTCCAGCTTAATGTAATGAATATCTAGATTATATTTTGTCATAACCTAGCAGAGGTACCAATCCCTCCACCACCCAAAAAAATTTTAAGATAGTTTACTTGATTAAATTATAGGCTTATGCATTCTGGACAAGCAATAATTTCGTAAGACCCATTTTTTCGTAATTATAATAAGGAGGTGAGCATTTTAAAAGAAAAATAGACTCATCAGATAAACTTTAAAATAATGTGCTAATATTTTCCTTTACTCCAAGAGAAAAAATAAAAATGAGTCTTCTTTTTCAAATCTCGAATTATTCTAAATTGTGAAGATTCAAAAATAGAAAACATTTCTATGTCTACAAGTTAGAAACCAAATTATTATTTTATTTCTGATGACTTGGGGTGCCTCAACCGATTTTGTTAACATTCTTCAAAACTGTACTAGCCGAAACACATCGCTTGGTGGTTATAGTTGAACTTCAGGGATTAACTAGGAGGAATTAACTAGGTTTGCTTTTAAATTTGTAAAGCGCATTACTGAGGCTAACAAAAAGCGCTGATTCTTGTTCAAAATATTCTAAACACTGCTCTCTGCCATGATGCAGCCCAATAAATTGAAGCACATCGATCTAAATGATTACATTATTATAAATTTTTAAGTATTTCTAAAATATCTAAAATACCAAATTGTGGTCTTTGTTTATAACAACTGTGAGTTTTCACTTAAATATAAACAAGAAAGGGAGGCTTAACAATAAAAACATGATTTAAAATAAACCCATCCTTTGATGGGCTAACTTTGGGCCCATGAATAAAAACGCAATGCAAAAACATTTTCCAACAGAACACCAACGTAAATAATATTTAAGCCCTCAGTTGACAAAACACTACGTAAGAGGGCGGCGAGGAGCGTCATTATTGCCAATTGGCGGTTAACATGAGGATAAATTGCCTATATACCGTTTTTTGGTTTATACTTTTAACCAGAAATAGCCCTAGAATTTGAGTTTCATCTGGGTGCAACGCCAATATTAACGAATTCTACTACTGTAACTCGACAGTTCAGGAACGTCTACAAAAAACCAAGGGTCGTAGCAATTCCAGGTCAGCCTACTGCAATACCCAAATCCCAACGCTTTGCCGTGAAGTCAATAAATTTCACATTTTTTAAAAGAGCAGTGTGCTGAATAACTATGGGACCTTGAACGGTGCGCCGAGTTTGCTTCAAATGATCGCTCGAGGATTCGAAGCAGCGCCCAGAAAACAAAGTGAGGGGTTAAACGGCTCCCCTCGTCCTCCCCAGCCCCGCGCGTTGTTACAGGTTTCCCAGTTCCCAGCCACAGTAAGGCGACAGTTCTGTAAACCCTTAAGGGCGCTACCAAGCGGAGCAAACACACACCACACACGCTCGGGGACACCCAAATAGACGTTGAGTGAAGTGGACGCGCTGGACAACAGCCGTGAAGAAGGCCGTCAGCCCTACCGTCACGGCGGTGGGGAACGCTCTTACCCCACTCCGGCTCCGCCTCCGCCTCCTACCGTCGCCGAGGCCCCGCCCCGCCCCACCGCAGAGACTCACGGGACATGTAGTACAGCGCGCCCACCTTCTCCTGCCCCTCAAATCACCAGCTCCCTCCCAGGTCCCTCGCGTCTGAGTTCCGGTATGTTAACACAGCCCCGGCGCCGAGACTGCGGACGGCGTCTGCCCGTTTTCCGGTTGCATGCTGCTCGTCCTCTCTTCCAGTCCCCCTCGACAGCATTTCCCCTCCGCGGTGTGCGACGCTGAGGAGGCCAGCGCCTGCAGGCCTGGGTCTCGCGCGCGTGTTGCTGGGTAACGGGCCTTCTCCGGGCTCCAGCTCGGCCTCCAGCTCGGCCTCTCCTGTCTCGGCTTGCCACTCCTTCCAGAACCTCCGGAGTTCCAGCGAACGGGCAGGGCCGCGCCAATCCTGGCGCAGCCGAGTCAAAAGAAATGGGAATCCTTCCGCGGTGTACCCGGAGCGGCTGCCTTCGCTGGGGAAGCGACGGTGTCTTCGAGGAAACCGGAAACCCGTGGTGACCCCTGGCGACCCGGTTTGTTTTCGGTTCGTTTCCAAACACTGGGAAATCGAAACTCGGCGGCCCTACGTAGCCTGTCTTCGGGGTGAGTGACTCGTTTTGGCCGGGTTAGGGGCGCGGGCAGTGCCAGGACCAACCGCCGCTGCTGTTGCTGTTCCGAAGAGACACGTCATTTTCTCTCACAAACCAGGGCCCCCTCCTTTGACTAGGGAGCGGCCCATCCCTGCGCAGCCCTTATGCCTATCCTCCTCGCACCCTAGCTGTTCCAGGCCCTTCTTGCTCTTTCGCTCTGCTTATTCCTTTCTGTCTGTATTCTGATTTACTAGTGCGCCTTCAGTTTTATTTCATTCATTGAGACTGCATTTATATCTGAAACGGGAGGAAAATGTGGCTAAGACGGTACTGCCTGGTGTAACCGAGCAGTGGACATAAACCCTCTGTACAGTAAGGTATTCGTCGTTTCTCCAGTCTAACCTGTATATTTAGTATGGTTTTCGATCTTTTGTTGAGTGACAACTACATGTAAGGTAGGCTAAGACCCCGTCCTTACAAACAGGGAACTCAAATACTCGCAAGTAAGATAAGATAAAATACTCATGAAAACTGTGATACCAATGAAAACATAAATTGCCCCAGGATATGGCGTTGGAAATATGCTAAGATGATAAAAGACAGCGACATATTAAGATTGAAATTGACCCTTGCCTCTTAAACATAGAAGACGCTTTCTCTTTATTGTTTTAATTTTAAATTGGATTGACAAGGCCTCGTGGTCTAATTTAAATTAGTTTCTAAATGCGCCATATCTAATTTCCCAACCTGTTGTGATCACTCACTACATCATTTGTAAATTAAGAATCGTGCATCCTTCACAGGGTTATTACAAAATTTTAATGCAATATTGTTCGTAAGATAGGAAGTTGTATACAAAATGTTTTTAATATTTAAAACACTTTAATATTAAAGACATTGTAGTGCAATGGGAAATGCACTGGGTTAAGTCAGAACATTAACTCAGGATCTGAGTGCTGATTTCTCTTTATTCACTTGACACTGGATAAGAGATTAAATCTTTTCATTTTCCCTATTTCTAAAATGGTTGTAAGGCTTACTCTCCAAGGTACCAAAGCATAGTTTCTAAGAGGCAACTGCTTCTGGAGTCAACTAGCTGATTTTCATTCATGACTCCCCTGCTTTCTAGTGTTTGCCTGTCTTAGTTGCTTTCCCAGCAATATGAGGAAATTCTTCCCACCTCAGAGGTCTTAATGTAGATTTAATGAATTGTTATAAAGAACAAATGAGATAATTGCTCTAAAAGGCAAAGTATATTGCCTGATATAAACACACAGTAAATATTAATTACCAACACATAATGTCATCACAATTGTTAAAATGTTATGAAGTTTTTCATAATCCATGAAATAACAAGAGCCAATGTAACTTTTTTCCTTCTTTGTGGTACTAATATTCCAGATTAAAGTATAGCTATGTTGTCACTCTTAGGGAATAATTATTGTTAATCCTAGTAAATGTATATAAGTGCTCAGTTGCATTGAAATGTATTTATTTATGAAGGAATGAAAGGAAGTAGACTGTTCTTCATACCTGTAGTAACCCTGAAAGACTTATGATTCCCTGGCCATACAAACTGATTTCTGGACTAATGCTTCATGATAACTCAGAATTATACAAATGAAAATGAAGTTCTTCATACTATATATTTGATGCTAAGTACATTTTGGGGCACTCAATGAATTTTAGGACATTTGACTGTTGAGGTACATAGAGTGACAATATCTTGAAGGCACTTGATGATCCCTTTATAGTTAGGCTATAATTATTTCATTAAAAATATGGAGAGAGCAGTAACGTTGGTTTGTTTGCCTCCATAAAACTTAGTTCTTGCTCCTTAGTATCTTGACTGTATGAAGTGGGTACAGGGACATTCTGGCTTTTCAGAGGTAGAAAGGTGACAAATTCTAAGTCAGTTCAAGAGGCAGTGTAAAAGAGGAAAGAGCGTACCAAATAGGTCTTGATTTAGACTATCACATACTGCCAGTGCAATGGATAGGGAAATTTACCTCATCCCTTTGAGCCTCAGTTTTATCTGTGGTGGTTTCTAGTCAAGTTTTCTAGCCAAGTTTGGTATGAACTTTAGGTAATGTATACACTATCTACCTTTTATTCACTTCCTGGCAAAATGTGAATTCTCTTCTATCTCTTTAGGTTGCCATTCTGTATTCAGATTAAAATTTTGCTTTACAATTTAGGAAGGCAGCATCTGAGTGATGTAGTCCAACTCTGTCATTTTAAAGCTGGGAAAATTTAGATCTGGAGAGGTAAACTAATCAATGATAAATTGTCAGATTATGCACTTAAATCTGGGTTTCTGAATCTTGTACCAAGGTTCTTTCTACCACTGAGCTCTGCCTTATCAGGATTCTTTTGGGGAAAATCGGAATCCATGTTATGTTGCTTTTCAGAATATTATATTAGGAACACAGATTTGGTAGACAGTTTATCTGGGTTCACATCTCCGATTTGTCACTGATTACTTATGTAGCCGTAAGTAAGGTACTTAATTTTTCTAAGTCTTTGTTTATAAACTAGGATAATATTACATATTAAGATGTAGAAAAATACATGTGGAAGCACTAGTGCCGGGCATATGGTATGTGATCGATAAATGGTAGATATGATGATGAAATATGATAAAATAGTCATATTTATTCATTAAAAAATGACTAGTCCAATGTCATAAGGGTATTTCTGTGTTTTCTAGTGTATCACACCCCAGCATATCTCAACCGAGGATCCTCAACTGAGGATCCTCTCAATGCTGATTGTAGTGAAGACTGAAATTTAAGTAGAATTGTGATTAATGTTTGAATCTTTGTTTTTCTTTATGTCTCTTTCCTAGACTCAGGAGCTACTGTTCTCTTTTCTACCCAACTTATCTGGCAAATTGTGCCCTTCTTTCTACATTATCACTGCAATATTATGATTTATAAGAAATAACCAAAATGTATTTCTTATATATATTTGGTTATAATCTATGGTTCCTATTTGGTTTTCATCCATGGTTCCTTGGCTCAAAGCTCCCAAAACCCTTGGAATTTCCTGAGGTATAAGAGCTGTGGCAGAATCTTTTGTCATATTTGGTCTCTTTGCAGTTCCTGAAATCACTTCAGAGATGTAAAAGTGAAATGGGTGTTTTGTTATTTATAACAAGCCCCTTTATACCAGGACTGGGTTTATGTTAATGAGGTAACTTTTGGACAGCACCCAAGCAAGAATGGTGGCTGGTTCCCAGAGGAACCACCCATGTGATTAGAGGTTTAGAACTTTCAGTCTCACAGATCTGGGTGTAGTCAAGAGGGGCTGGAGGGTGAATCAGTTGTCAATGATTTAATCTTATGTATATGTAATGAAGCCTCCATAAAAACCCAAACTGGAGAGGGTTCAGAGAGCTTACTGGTTGGTAAACCAGAACACATCCATGTGCCACTGTGCCAGCCCCAAAATCCAGGAGAACAGAAGCTCCTTTTTTCAGGATTTCACCCTGTGTATCTCTTCATCTTGCTGTTGATTCATATCCTTTAATTTTTAGGACAGCTAAGCAATTTTCATGCTGTTTTCCAGCGCATTCCAAGTCATGTTTATAGTATGTAGAATAAATATATATAGAATAATGGTATAAAAATTGAAAGATTACTTTATACAAATGTTTTCTTATAGAGACCATCATATGCAACTTTATGTGATTTATAAAAAATAGGCAATATATATAACTATAAGCCAAGCTGACCATTCATTTTGTCCTAAAATTGACTAGTTATCATACTATATAAAATGTGACATGGTTACATCAGTATATCCTCTTCCATCTAAGGTATTTAAAAACCATTAATTTAAGTGCGTAAAAGTTTCATTGGAGAGGGAAAAATACTAATAGTCAGGTTCAGAAATCCACGTGCTTGTAGTACTTACTAATTATCTGGTCTTGGCTAAGCTTCATAACCTTTCCAGGTCCCAGTTATCTGTGAAATGGATGTAATAAGATTTTCTACCTCATAGGTTAGTCATGAAAATTAAATGGGATAACATTTCTTAAACACTTAGCACAATACTAAGGAACTCATATGGTTATGAATATATTTTAGAAATGTTTTATAAGTATTCTTCACATTTTTTGAATCATGTCATAGCCTGACTGAAATTCCACAGGATAAAGACCAAATTCTGTAGTCGTCTCCCTGTCTTAAAGGACCACCTCAGTTTGTCTCCATTCTGTTTTTCCAATTTTACCTCTTGCCATTGCCTTTCTCCCCACAGTCTTTCAGGACTTTGAACTTGTTCCTTCTGCTGGAAGTTAGTAAACTGTTAAGGTTTAAGTACAGTAAGTACAATGAAAATAACCTCCTTCATCTAAAGAGTACAGCGTTAAAAGTCATTTGATCTTTTGTGGTACCTTCTTTGAAAACCACTCTTTCTATCCATCCCTTAATCTCCATAGCATTCTGTATTGTTTCAAATGTATTAGCTTAAAGTGCACAAATTGTGGGGCATTTGTTTTGACTGTGTAGAGCAGTTTATGCTTATTTCCTGTTTTTCAGCTGTCTTTAGGGAAAAA